ACAGAATGCAATTCAAGAGGGGTTTGCCTCATAAAAAAATCTAACTGAACATCAGAACTGGTCTGGGGGCTTGGGTTAATGATATCAGGCTCTACTCTTGGACAGCAGCTGAAATGCTCATCGTAATTTATTGCTTTAATTATGGGGACAAGTGATAAAAAGTCTAAATATCTATTACTTCTGCAGCTCGTGATGTGGGATGTTAAGTGACCTTTAGAACACTTGCTCAAGGAGAACTAATGTTTTTGTTTTAAAAACTCCACTTTTGAAAGTAATCTGCAGTGACAGGATAAAACGATAAAAGCTAATGTTAAAGCACACAGTCACAATAACTTAGCATCCTAATGCAAAGCATGTTTCCTTATGTGAAACACAGAGTTGTATAAGAGTATTTTTAACTGGATGTACATCTTAGGGTCAGAAGGAGGTCAAAAACTATCTGAAAACAACAGTGGAAAATTAATTTGAATCACTTTTTAATTTTATAAAAGACGGTGCAGATAAAAAATTCTATTTTTAAATTACTACTTTATACTGTTAGATTGCCAGGGCTGGGTTGTCTCTTACAGAAATGTCCTAACACTCCAATTGTGTTAGTGGTATGCAGTTTACAAATCCTTACTCTGGACTGAAAAAGTTTGGTGCTTACTTTTTCAGATGACAAAGTAATTCTAATATTGGTATAATTCTAAAAGAAGTAAAAATTTCCAAATCTATTACAAAAGGTAAATGGCAACAAGAAATGAACTAATAATAACCTTCACAAAATCTAAGCACTTAAACAAATGTTAATGATGGTCTCACCCTCCCCTGGTAACATGGAAACATCATAGTAAAGTTCCTTGTGCACATTCTCTTCCTGAGGAGTACCTTATTTCCCAGAAGGCATGGTAGATTTCTAGTACGGAGGTATTCAGCATAAGAAGATGAGAATCTGCCCTGATTATTGATCGAACATAAAGAGCTGCAGATGTTATCAAACACAATTTTATTTCTGCCTCATTAATTACCATTTTTTTTTGAAACATCTTAACTATCTTGACTCAAATACCTAGGTATACCTGAAACAATGTGTTTTCGATTCTTGTGAGAACATTTTAGGCACCCTTGAAAGTTTGTATTTTATCTGCCACCATGAGAAGTGTGGCTGTATAACTTCCAGCAGTGAATATCAAGAACTAGCAGTAAAGCTGCATAGTTCTTTCAATCAACATCAACTTTTTTGTAGTGACTATAATAAAGAAGGATAGGATCATGAGCTAAACCCATTTTCTTTTTCTAAATTACCATGTGCCCAGATAAGACGATGATGCAAACCAGAAGAAAGTTAATGAAGAATAGGACTAATCTGGGATTCTAGGCAATAAAAATGTCAAATACTGTGGAATCCCCACAGAAATAAACCAAGGTGAAACCAGTTGAAATCCCTTTCTTTTTGTGAGGTTCCTCTTGGCAGAATTTGGAAGAAAAAATCTGAAACTCTAAAACACTTGGTGAGAGTACGTCTGGTTACGAGGTTGGGTTCAGCGGTGATCATTTGGCTGGAAGACTTCCTTTTCCCACAATTACACATCCAGTTTGGAATTACAAGCAAAACAAAGGTTTCTTAGTCTTTTTTTTTTTCCTCTTCATGACATGCAGACTAAGGGAGAAAGGACATAAACCATATGAAACTCCAAATTTCAATGTAGTAAGAATGTATGTGGTCAGAAAGCTAGCTCACTTTTTTTCTTATTGAATGAAATGGAGGCTACTAAGGGTCTACTTAAACAGGTTTTGCACAGGCAAGAGTAAAAGTGTCTCTTGGGTTTATATGTGATACCACAGCTGTTAAAGCTAGAGTCCATCACAACTGCTTTCTGTCACCATTTAAGATGTTCTTCAGATGTCTAACTCTGCCCCAGTACAGGAGCAAGAGCACCTGTGTCTCAAGTGCTTTCAACAGCTGCTTAATCTTCCAAACAAAATCTTACATTCCAAAATTTTCAAGGCACAACCATTATTTACATTCAATGATAGAACATGTTTAATAAGGAGAAGGTATGTTTAGGAATCCCAATATCTTCAACTGTCTCCATCCCTCAAGGTTACAGCTGTATATTCAACTATTTTTGCAAGAATTGTATCTTTTAAAAAGCCAGCAAATAACACTGTTTTTTTTTTCCTCAGGGATTTCATGTCAAAAAAGCCATAAAAAGCATGAAAAACAAAACCAAAAGAAGTCCCCAAAAATGGTTATCTTGTAATGTTTCGTGAAGCTTTGGGGAAAAAAAGTAGGGTTGAGGTTGTTTTAGGTACAGATTTCTGAAACCTATGAACTACAGGGTTATAATACACACTGATGTAATCTTAACTCTGCCCCCATGAAGCAAGTCCTGCAAGCAGCTTTAACAGTAGTCCTATCCTTTTGTGTTCTACCTGTCCTAGTGTCCAAAACTGCACACTGTACTAAAAATATACCATATTTCTACGAGTTCATACAAATGCACTTTGGTCCAATATAATGCAGTAAATTCCGAATTTCACTTGTCTCTCACCTTGTTGTCGATCAGATCCATGTGCAGCTCCCAGTACAGCTCACATAGGAGAGGTCTTGAAGGGAGAGAAACTTTTATCATATGCTTGGAAATGGAAAAGATTCATGCCCTCATAGATCACTTTGTATCACATTAGTTCTATTAAGGCATTGGGATTAATTTCTTCACTATTTAATGTAGCTATACTACCAGTGAAAGCAGTTTGTACTTTCAAATTATTCTTGTTTCATTAAACACAGTATTACGGAAAAAGCATACAAACCCAGTCTCTTCACCAAGTTTTGTCCCTGAATATTTGTTTAGAATAAATCATTTCAGGGAAAATAGGTCTTGAAATGAAACCATCTGCATCCTTCCTGGTGCTTCTGAAAAGCCTAAGCAGTAGTCAGCTGATGCTATCCTGGTTGTAACCAGGACACTGGGGATGCATGTCAGTGGCTGTAGCTCATCTGCACATAAAGAAAAACTAACTGATTTTCCAAAACTGGATGAGACAAAAAATCAGCTGTCTATCTGTCCATACATTTCTTCCATGACTGTTAAAAGATGGAAGCAGTAGACACTGTGGAAGATTAGACAGTAACAACTTTGTTCGTCATTTTAGACAGGTTTTGATGAAAAAACACTATATAGTGGATTTTGTCCTATTATTACTAATTTTGGACATGACTTCCTTCCCATGGACAACATCAAAAGAGCCTGTCTTTTATCTCATTGACCAACCATC